TTTTAAAAAAAAGAAAACTACTCAGAATAAACAAAAAAGAAGTATATAGAAAGTTTTATTAGGGTTGTAGGACTCCATTATTAAAAAGTAACTAAATCCCTTTTTTGTTTTAGAGAAGTTAGCATGGTTATAACCTATCTTTAAGAAGTCGCTATTATGCTAACTTCTCTAAAACAAAAAGTGATTTAGATACTTTTTAATAGTGGAGTTCTACAACCCTAATAAAACTTTCTTTTTTGTTTATTCTGAGTAATTTTCTTTTTTTAAAAAAATACTTTAAAATTAATTTGATTTAAACTGCCAATCATACGAAAGTCTTCCTATGAGATTGTAGTAAAGTTGCAACTTTTTGGTAGTACGTATTGACGTACTCATCAAACTTTCCAAAATTTTTACAGATTATAATCACGTGTCTCGGTCATTATTGGTCAAAATTTCATATCACTAAAGAAAAATTTATATTTAGTCCGAATTTGAGAAATCACTTAATTTTAACCTTTAATGTTTCATCAAGTAACAACCGATTAAAAAAAAATAACCCATAAAACTGAAAGAGAAGATTTAGATTTACTATTTTTATAACACTTATAGATTTTTACCTTCTTAAATGCAATACCTCTCTAAATGCAAGGTTTTTTGCCGCTCCTCGGCTATGCATCTAGAGGGGTCTGACTGTAGCTACTATAGTGCAGATCTTACTATACTCGAGCTCCAGATGTTCAGGAACCTACTTCAGAAGAGATTGCGTACCTAATAGTGAATATTAAGGTTAGGAACAGTGAATCTGTCTCTAGCTTACATAATCTTTCAACAAGTTACTTTATCACGAACGACTATTTAAATTAGCTTGTAATCAAAATACACAGGGGCAATGTTATCTACATACAGATCGAAATTAAACAGTTCCAGATGTCATCGTATTTTTGACGTGCACCTTTATATGACAATTCAATAAGATTTCTCACAAATAACGTGGATATTTCATTTGCTAATATTACTAGGTATCTGGTTTACAGAAGCTGTTTGCAACGCCCATAGTGTCCTGGGTTATCAATTACATATTCCTACCATTGAACTTAAAATGATGCTTATGATGGCAACCTTGCCGGGGTAGTTAGTGGATTTATGGGAATCACAAAACATAATTCTAGGTTAACTCACTAAGCTATCAACATTATTTGTAATAATGACACTTACTAAAATATAATATTATACTTGTTAAATTATTACCCTGGATAACATTTTCAAGAAATTAATCTAAATGAGAAGTTTAGACAAGAAAATTATTAATCTAACTCACTTTCCTCATTATTAAGATTTAATCAAAAATGGCTTTTCTTCAAAATTAGGATAATGATTCGAATTATCGCACATGTGCGTTCTGAAATAGCGCGCAGAGTCTCAAAATAACACGCAGGTGCGCGATATTACGCGTCTATACGACAGCGAAATTGAGTCATCAAAAAATTGAGTATAAGCCAAATGTAAGCAAAACTTTATTATGTCACATTTATATATACAAGGACACACGCAGTAATAAACTACTAAAAACTTTCCTGAGACTATGTATATTGAACGCGTTATTTTGGGACGCGCATGGGCGTTATTTTAAGTCAAATATGCGATTTTCAAAAAAAAAAAAAGAAAAAAAGTAACGCCTACGTGCGTTATTACGCGCCTATACGCTATAGGCTATTTATCAGTTATTAAATGTTCTCAAAATGTATAATTCAAATTTTTAGGGAATGAAATTTATTCTATAATTATTATAGTCTGGTCTTTTTATCCTTTTTTCTTTAGTTCTGTTTTAGATAGATTAACTTTGTAATTGCTTTTACTGGTACTAGAGGTTTGATCCGTCAAAAAAAATGAAAATCCGTATACTCATTTTTTTTTTTTTTTTTTTTTACACAATCTTCAGAATTCTGAATAACTGAAAAATTATCGATGAACGAATTGATAAATCAGATAAGTTTCTGATTTCGACGTTGGTAACTTATTGATACCTGGTAGCTTTTTGATTCTATCAACGGAAAATTTTTCTGCTGTCCCAGAATTTGTGAAAATGGCATAACCCACAATAAAATAGTATAAATAATTTTTCAACGAAAGAAATATCTCTAAAAAGTTTTTTTGTTGGAGCCAAACTGTGAAGACTATTTAGAATTGCTTTTTATAAAATTTCAGCATTTGATCCGGAATATAAATCAAACTATCCAAATTTACCAGAACGTATTATTCCGATTTCAATTCACTTTTTATTATATAAAATAAACCTTAGCATTGGATATTACTTACATAACGTTATGTAACCTATATTTATTGTCGATGATTTAAATTTGGAAAGATTCCATATAACGAAAATCAATTCTAATTATAATTTTAATTATAATAATTAATACATTAATTTTATATTGCATCTACGATCGTTTATCATCTCGTTCCTCATCAAGTTATTTCATTAGTTATTTCATTCAATTCAGTGTGAGGTTTTTCATCATCTACAAACATCAAAGTAACCATAATTATGACACTAATTATCGCATAGACTAAATATAACCACATAAAAACAAAATTCGCTGCTCGAATTTTACAAGCTGTTTCACTTATTGGATATTCAAAGTTGTACTGACAATTGAATGGAATTGGATCAATCTCATGTATTGTGTAGATAGTGTAAATAGCTAGATTAAAAAGATAAAAGTTAATGATAAAGTTAAAGGCTAATGATTAGTAATTTAAAGTTTTAAAAACTTACTTGGTAGAATAAACCAAGCCAGCGATGTGAGTATTGTTAAAACTCTAGATAAGTCCAAAAATGGTTTAAGTATTAGTAATTTATAAAAATAATATCTTTCAAAAACTAAAATATAAAATAAAATAACTGTATTAAAAGTAAATAAAATACCTAAAGTCTCTCATATTAAAAAAACAAAAACAGCACATTGCAAAAAAACTAATTGCTAAAGAAATTATATTTTTGAAATATTAATATTATTAAACGATTTACTCAAAATTCATATAAAAATAATAAGTTCTTACCAGCTGTTGAACAAGTAAGTGCTATGTATCTAAAAAAAACATTCAAATCCATCACAAAATCAAATATAATATATATATAAAATAAAATAAAATAATTTTATTAAAAAGAAATTTATTACTAATTGTTAAAAAATTGGGTTGTTCTTACGAATATTCAACACCTTTATTACTATATTGAAGTTCTCCATTAGTTTGATCAAATAAAAGGACTTTTGCAAGTGCTATATTGTTTAGAAAAAAAAAATGGTAAATGTGTCAAATTTTGCTTAAATTATAAAACCATAGTATTAGGATCCATTATTTACCAAGAGCCGGACATAGGAATGTAAGAATAAAAAGTTGTATGATCAATAGTGCCAAACTAAATGTTCTTACTTTCCCTTTCGCCATTTCTAGTATGAATTCCTTTCGAAATTAATTCAATTGTTGATTTCAAACACTTTATTTTATAAGTGTATCATTACACAACAACAAACAATAATGGCTTGTAGTTTCTATATAGAACAATGGATAAATTATCTTTAAAAGTGGGTACTCTTCGAAAATATTAATATGTTCGTGAGAAGTCATACGTTTAACTTAATGTATAATCCTGAATTAACTCTCGATTAAAAGTAAATTTGGTTCCATAATGATATGTATCATATGAAATACATTAATATTAATTTGTTCGTGTTATGCAATCTGTAAGTCAGTTGATTTTTTGGGTTCATTTTTGGCAATTCATCATTTGGCTATTTATCGTTATTCATAATGATAAATATTTACATTTTGCATGGGTGATACTAACGCTCGAAAAAGTTCATATAATGATCCGGATATTTGACTATTTTATTTGACAAAAATTCGTACGTACGTACGTACTAAAGGATCAGAATTCTGGGTCGAATTAGCAAATTTTATTAAGGTCACTCAAAATTATACCACTACTATTACGCGTCTCATTTCCTTCGATGGCTATTTTCCCTATAGGCCATTTAACCGACGTCAAATGATAATTTACCATATAACAATATATGTCAAATGCTAATCCTAACCCTATGTGATGTCGGATAAATGATTGTCCGGAAAATGAGCACTAAGTACGTACGTACAAAGGTTTTATACACCCATTCAAACTGCAAATTTTGCCAAAATTTGATTGATACTATGTTCGAATTAAGATAAAATTATTCACTTTTGAAGTGGATGACAGCTATTTCCACATACCAAATTAGAGCAACAACCGTAAAAAAATTATTTATGAACGTACGTACGTACATTTTTCACATTGTGCCGACATATTAAAAACTGCATTCTTGTAACCTCTTTTACAGTACACTAATATCTTTTGATTACATTTTTGATTAAGGAGCTTTGCAAAATATGATTATCGAAGATTTTTATTTTGTTTTATATTCAGATATTTTACTTGTATGTAACACTTCAAAAAGTACTTCAACCTATAGAATGTTGCCTATAATATCCCATGATCTTGATATGGGGTGTCAGTAGAAACCAGGGTTTCTAAGTAAAATTTTTTTAGACTTTAAATTAAAATATCTCAACAACTATTAAACCAAACTTGATAAAAAATTTTTTATTTTAATTATATTTAGTTATAGAATTAAAATAAAAAAATTTATCAAGTTTGGTTTCATAGTTGTTGAGATATTTTAATTTAAAGATTTAAAAAAAAACTTACTAAAAACAATTTGCCTGGCTTCTGCTGACACCTCATATAATGACCAATTCTAGCATCGCAATAAAATCAGTTACATACGTATATATATGGAATATTTAATTTTATTGTCCGGAACGAAACAAGGCGTTTGTCCATATGAGATATCGTTTACCATTGTGCCCCAAGCAATATCCTACTCCCTTCTCCGTGAATAGTACTAATCAATTCTAAAAGTACGAAATTTTGAATAAGACCTGGGTATTATATACAATGGTAAACGGTAATCTTTGATTTCGGACAAAAAAATTTATAAATTTCGAATTCGTATGCACTTATTTAGTTTTCTGATTTCAGAATTTCAAAACATAAATAAGATTTTTAAACTCCCACTTGTTTTCGAAATAAGTTCATTTTGAAGCCCTCTAATCATTTTAATTTATTCGTGTTAATTAGTGAGAGAATGTGTTTTGAGGTAAACCATTAAAGTCATAAATATTTAATGTTATGTAATAGCTTTCAATTTTTCACTGCCAATTGTACATAGTTGTTTAAAATAGGATATTCATTTTTATTCGTATTTGATTGAGTAATCGCATTTTGTGAAATCATTATTTAATTTTACCATTATATTTATTTTTCTGTAGCTAAAAAATTATTTGTTTTAACTTTTCAAAAAAATTTTGAGGTTCTCTAACGAATATGAATTTAGCAAAAATAATTTTTTTTTGAAAGATAACTTTGTAAAGACAGAAGACAGAAGCGATCATAAAAAAAACCTCGACAGGTTATTACAAAAATCTTCAATATTTATTTTTTTTTTGAAAATTATTTCTCTCGAATTATGTATAAAGCATCTTTAATCTCTGGCTTGTTGGTCAATTAAACTACCTAGTATAGATTTAGGAGGGGTAGCTTATTTGACGTATAAGTGTCGATATATAAAATATATATATACCTTGTATAGTAAATGTTTGAATATATTACATCAGGAAATTTTTGAACTGGTTGGCAATCGATTGTACAGGTAGGACCGTCCCAAATATGGAAACTATGGTTTGACTCAGGACCGCTGATCTGCATATCGATTTGACCAATC